GGGGGTTGGCTCGATGGGTGGATGAGAAGTCACAAGTAAATAAAGTTAAGTTTAGGTTTCATTTGTCAAAAATAACAGAGGTTTACTGTAAATTTATGATTAATTTGTAAGTTAAAGATAAATAAGCCATGTTGATGTTTTTGTACTGCTAGACCCAGGATTTTGTGGTTGGATGAGTGGGTGAATATAGAATATAAACATTAGACAATTGGGGATTTTACTAAAACATACAGGGCACGGGGATGAAAAATTGGTTGGTTTTGTCTTGTTTGGTCTGTCATACTATTTTTTTTTTTTAAAGGAAGGGAAAGAAAAGGGCATGCCCACTGCCCTCCCCTCCTCTTCCAATCCATTATTGTTGTGTTAGACTGGGTTCCCATGCCTAGATTGATCTAACTGGATCAACCCATCTCCAAGGGTTTCTCACTAAATTGCTTTAAGCTTAAATGGATTATATGTCTGGCATGCCTACTGAAGCCACTAAATGATTAATTACCCTCTAACAGCTACAGTGGACATGCGAGACATCTAAGCTGCTTAAGTTGATAGCAATTTAGTGAAAACCCCCTTGGAAATAGATCAATCCATAGTTAGTATGATAGTCTCTAGGAATGGTATCTTATTCTTCTGATAGATGGCAGGCCCGTAGCCAGGGGGGGTTCGGGGGGTTCGAAAGAAGCACCCTTTTTGCTGGGAAAAGGTCCACTCTGGGTAAAATTTGATCTTTGTACTTGAGGATTTTATGGTAAAAGGTCCACTTTTTCAGAAAACGACCCCCCCCCCTCTGAAATTGCTGGCTACGGGCCTGGATGGTATGTCTGTACCAAAGCCAAAGAGAATTAATGGAAGAAGATATCATAAATCAACACCTTTTACTTTTTGTAGCTTAATAAATCAGAAATGTTTCTGACCAAAAGATGAAAATTGCCACCATTCACTATACACCTGCCTGGAAGAGCAGTAGCCCATTACTACATGTAAATATGCATGTAGTAGTCTACTCCAGCCCCCGTGCCAAAAACTTTAAAACCTACTTTGAAACTCTGAGAATCTACAGAGAAAATATAATTGCAATTAAGGTTATACAAATGTACCTAATTTTACTGCATGTGTTGTGGGACCATTGTTATCTTTGTATGCTAATCTTTAGAAAAATTGCTTTTGTGTTAATTTGAAGGAGATATTTTTTTGCTGTTATGAGATATCCTATATATAGATTTTATATCTGGTCTTTACGAATCTGTTGAGTTTTGGAACAATATCTCCATCCTGGAGAAAATATCTCAATGGAATTTAAAGTGAATAGATACCTTTATATAGATTTTTGATTTCTGTTTTAGATGTGTGTGGGACTTTGGAAAGTGTGAAAGCTGCTAGTGATCTGTATTCACCAGTCTCAGGGCAAGTGATAGAAGTCAACAAAACTTTGGATGAGTCGCCAGAAACTATCAACCAGTCACCATATGATAAGGGTAAAATTAAGAAAAAGATATTTATTGTATAATAAGCCCTTAACATGAAATTATAGCAGTTTGTGACTTGGAGCTACAAATTATTGAATTTAATAGCCTAATCAGTGACCTAGTTGATAGCTGAATAAGTGCTCTAATTTAAATTATGATTGTATCAATGCTGACCTTAAGTATGGATGTTCTAAGTCACAAATGGCAATTGATATTAATGAGGCCTGATATTTATAGGATCTGGGTGCTTAGATGCCATTTTAGATTTTTTGCCCTTTATCAAGAAATGGAAAGTATAAACAGTATTTTCATTTGCAAAGTTAGTTTAAAAAGATGAGTTGCAGATATGGTTTCAGTTTTTTTTCTTTTCTTCAATTTTCATTGCTGATCACTTAAATGAACATTTGTTTGCTTGAAAACAATCATAATGGCAATGCAATTATTTATCTGAAGAATTCAGAGAGATTCAATTAGACTTTATCATTGATTGAAAGGGAAGTGATAAACCTATAAAAATTAATTGAAAACAGCATAAGATATGCAGTGTATCAGTGGCAGCATGATAACATTTTTCAGGTATTTCTAAAATTTTCACCCTCTGTTGGCCATTGTACAGAATATTTCATGGGTCAGTTTCAGACATTTTGTACAAAAAACACTCCTTATTCAGACCTGAACTTGATGACAAAAAGTCCCCTATAAATTACTTTTCTAGGTTGGCTGATGAAGGTTGAATTGGGAAACTCAGAAGAACTGAAAGATCTAATGGACGCTGAGGCTTACAAGGCTTTCATACAAGAAGAATGAAATTTGTGATTATGAGATAAGGTCCAGTCACTAAATTTTTTTGATTCTTTAAATTGGTTACCTCTCGATTATTACGCGTAACTTCCAGTCTGTTACACATGGTAGAATATTACATGAAACTTAAATGAAGAAAATTGGTGGGGTATAATAAGTAAATGTGTGGAGTTGACAGCCATGTGTGTTAATTTTTTTATAAATTGATTCATTGATATAAGAGATGTTTATAAGGGAATTGTAGGTCTATGCATGAGGTATTTTTGAAGGTCATCTTGACTCACGTGTGGAAGAGTACTACATGTACAAACGTGCACATTAAATTTTTGCTATTATCATAAGAAAAAATGAATAAATAGATTATTAAATAGTTAAACGATAATATTACTATTATCACAAGCTCTTTAAAATACTGACTTAGTTGTAGGAAATTAATGAGATTCTAAGGTAAAGATGGGGATAGTCTTATGTTCCACTTTTTATTTCACTTTTG